GGAAAATTACACAACTTTCATATTTGTGGCTCTAGGAAGGGTTAATCAAACAGTCTGTGTCCATGAGAAACCTCAGTAGAGAGGAACTGATTAAATGTCAGTAAAATCATAGCAAAATGTTACGGTAAATTGGTTGCTGAAATGTTAGTGGCCAAAAAACGGCCTGCTCTGTTATATCAGTGGTGCCCCTATTGAGGTCCAAGAGGGAGGGAAGAGCTTCTCTGTAAACAGTGAAGGGTGTCTTCTGTAGAATATGTAGGATGGAAATTCCAGCTGTGACAGAGACAAAAACAGTTTCTCGTACTTGGTCTGCATAAAATCAGAAATGTGAAGAGGTTTTGCAAAATGCTTGCTTCCACAGCAAGAGTAGAGTGTGAAAACTTCACTGTAAAAACCCTCTGCCTGTTGTAATATTTTGTTGCTTGATCTGATGTACGTGAACGTTGTATCTATCAGGTCCCATCAGCTTGGCCCTGTACATGTCTGATGCTGAGGCTCAGCAGTTCCTACGCTTCACACTTAGCTCTGATGTATTGATGAAGCGCAAGAATGTGGGCTATCATGTAGTCTACAAAGAGGGGGTAAGAAAACTAAAGTCTGCCTCATAAACACAATTTTTTGGTTTCGGAAACCTCTGTGGGTGACATCACTGAGTCTTGGTTCTTCTCTCGGATTGGTCAGTTAGTGGTTAATCCATATTTTACACTTGGGACTCAAGGGGGCAAAAATAGTGTTATCATCTATGGGGAAAATCTGAATTATTGACCAAACTCTTAGCCTTTACACCAAATATTCCTGAAATTTAGCTGATTATTTGCTAGGAATATCTCCCACACTATGCAGAAAAGGCCAAAAATAAGGAGAATAAAAATCCCTGTACAAAGTGAAGGGAGGGTTGCCCCCTCGCCCAGATGTGAGTGCAATAAATGAAACAACCTCAGAGCAAGAATGTTAATGTACTGTTGAAAAACAACCTTGCTCTTCCAAATTTCTGACCAGATCCCTCAAAATGAGTCTTAAGACCTTTATTTAAGTACAGTACAATGCCACTATTATGGCATCACTATACTGAACAATTGAGTATATGGAACATGCCTCTTGACTCAAAAATGTTTTATGCACTTTACTGATTTTTGGCCTAAAATCCTTATTCAGTGAATGGTCTGGAGCTGGAAACTTGTGCATCAGAGACTGAAAATCTCTATACAGTCGACTCCCATTGACACAAAAGTCAGGGGACTTACTAAACTATTTATATTTTCTGGAACCTTATCTTTAATAAAAAGTATGCGCAAGTAAGGACATTAGCAACTTAATTGGTGATCGACGACAGAAATGCAATTTTCTACTTGTACAAAGTGAAGGAAACCGTTGAATTTTTGTGTGGATAGTAGAGGGCATAGGTAATGTGTTTTAGAGAGATTTAGAACTTTTACACTTCACTTCCAAAGAGACCTATATGGGTAGGGCAGTAACAGATTTTAAAGGGGATAGGCCATGTAGGGTTAAATTGACGTTATATGATAATTTTCAACCGTTTTATGAGCAAAAAGTTGGATTAACCCCTCTTTTATGTCATTAAATCAGCAAAACTTGGCATTTTTTTCAGTCTCTGCCTGGGCTCTGTGCAAAATTTGATCAAAATGGGTCAATGAGGGCAGCAGACAAATCTTGGCAAAAATGTGACGTCATAAGACGGACTAGACTTTCCAGACCAGAATGCATAGTTCTGCCAAGAAAGTTGATCGGTTCAAGCAAGCAACTCACAGTGCACAGTGAAAAAATTGACGGAATGGAATACCAACTTTGACAAAGTAGGCTCGCCTATAACCATGAACAAAAAACTACCCCCAAAATCACTGAAACACACAACAAAACAACCAAAATGGCAAAACAGATGAAAGACAAGGAAGGCAATGTAGCTTTCCCAGTAGGCAGTAGGCCCTAAAGATAAATCCCAACCCAACATCAACCTGTTTCGCATCATCTGGTTTTGCCGTTTGTCGACGATAATACGTGCGTGTTTCACCTTAAAACAGGATTTATCAAACAAACATCAGCAAAAGCAGCTATTGAATAGCCAATGATAGGACAATTACGTCTCTTCAGAAAGCCAAATTTTTATTATGGTGCAGTAACAAATCATTACCAGCCAGTGTTTTTCCGAGGATGGATTTGTGCAGGGGACCACCGTGCTTGCCATCCTTCCATCCTTGGAAACAGTTGTTCGCAGTACCCGCTGCTACATCTGACTCTAACTAGCCAGCCGACACCGGCAAGCTTGTCGGTCGAGTGGTAAAGCCGTCTGCACTAGTAAGCAGGAGGTCATGGGCTTGAGTCCCAAACGAGTATGGTTGTTGGTTTTCTCACAAGCCTTCGGGGGCAAACACTGAGTATACAGTGTTGTAATACACGTCGGGCAGGGCAAAATCCAATTTAGTCAGTGTTTTGTTGTCGATCCTCCGGGTCGCCGCCATGCCCGTACCCAACAGCCTCGAGTCGCAAAATCTCTTCCCGAGTGTATTCTGGTCTCAAACTGATAAGGCAATATGTCTTGTGCCTCATCAGCTCCTTCAGTGTCCCTTTCTTTGTCAAATGAATAAGACCAACATGACAATTGATTGCTGAAAAAGCATCAACGCTGGAATTATCATTGCTTGGTCTGACATGATGGCACATGCTAATGCTTCTGCATTACATGCATGTCAACGTGTTGTTACGTAACAGTAAACAGTCACCGGATAAAGGACTCTGTCTTATGACGTCACGATTGTTGGGAATTTCTTCAGACAACTTTTGGTACCCGACAGCTATTGTTTAGCTTTTGCTTCGAGAAGGGAGTGAAATAAGGTTGTGAAAACTATAATTTTTAACATATTTTTATGCATTCATATTTTGAAATTATGGAGATGTGTTTTCTTGTTATATGTATGTTTGTTTTATGTGTTGATGCACGTTTTACAAGAAATCTTCCCAGCAAGGCCTATCCCTTTTGAAACATGAAATTTATATTAATAAGTGATGTACAGTAGGGGCATTTTGCTCAAGATTCTCTTTTTCATGTTTTGGTGGGCAGTTGGTAACAGATGTTTTTTATTTGGGTCCTCTGATGGCCCGGAAATTGCAAGTGCCAATTGTCTGTCATCTTTGTTTGGATTGGGCAGCACAAAAACCCCCATAAAGAAAATTTTTTCATTTTTTGGGATCTAAACTGCCCAAAACTGCAGTCCTGGATTAGTGAGCATTATCACTGTGCCGAGTACAACAGCATACATTGTATTTATTGAATGGGTGCAGCGATTGACGAGTTGTTTTCAAAATGCTCGTGCTAAATAACAATACACTTGTACTCAGGTTCACTGAAAAAAGTTTTGTCTTAACATAAATCCTGTACCACCCAAGCTCATATTTGAGATTTTTTTCCTCATTGAAATGTACACACTTTCGTTCGGGACTGGCAAAACATCTTAATTGGAATCTTGTTGTATCTAAGTTTGTTTTACTGAGAATTGACTCTACCCAGCAACCACTATAACAAACTTTTTTGTGGACCCAGCTAGCCAGGCGTGTTAGTTGTGGTGGTATTGTACTTTAATTTGGTTTTTAGTTTGCATAATAGAGAGAGAAAACTGGACTTCTTGTTCTGATGTGTCACTCAGTTTTGGTGATGATGTAATGGCCACTGTGCTGGTGAAACTGTTGGTTTTTGTTCCCATTGATTTGCAATGTTAAAAATTCTTTTAAAGGCCTCTGACTCAAAAAATGGTTTTGATCATATAACAATTGTACCTAGGCTACTGCGCTGCTAAAATATCAACATGGCTTTGAGGAATGAAGTTGCACGCAATAGAACTGTTTTTATGGAATCCTTCAGATGCACCTTTTTGCAATCTATCTTCTTTTTGTTGAGCATTTGTATTATTACTTTTACTGCCATTTAAGGAGATAATGTTTAGCAGTAATCAAGTTTAATTATCTGTCTGTAGCAATTCTACCCTGTGAATTACCTTCGCAACACTGCTTTGAAGCAGACCAACACTCCGTATGTCTTCTTGTCTGATATCGACTTTCTGCCGATGTATGGATTGTATTCATACCTGAGGAAAGCCATTGATATGATGGACATGAAGTCATCTAAGAAGGTCAGCTTTGTGTTTAACTCCAATCACAACTTTTTCTATACCTTTTTGTAATCTCCAAGACCACCTCTTTTCAGGAACCTACATGGGGCATTCTTTATGATAACAATTGTCAAGAAAGTTTAACTTTTTCCACAATCCTGAAAATTCCTGCTGAACTCGCCAATCAGATTGAAAAGATTTGGAAGGTTAGAGTTGATGAGAAATACAACTATTTCACCAGTTATGCATGTAATTGAATATGGAAGAAGTTGACTGCTTTTGCTTTCAAAATAAAAAGTGGAAATCAAGATATCAGGACATACTAATTCTATATGGCATATAATAATAATAATATCAAAGCATGTATAAGGTGCACAGTGTCTGTAATTAAAAAATGCTAAAATATTATCATTATCACTGATCGTTTGGCTCACAACATCTGAACATTCCTGAAACCATCTTAGCTACATTTAAGGTTACTTCAAACTTTAGTGCAGCAGAATTAAATTGACAATGTGACTGAATTAACTAAAGGGGAATGTTGGTTTTTACCTTTCAAATGTTCAACAGGCTTTAGTAGTCCCAGCCTTTGAGACACTACGCTACCGTCTGACTTTCCCCAAATCCAAGGCAGAACTCTTGCACATGCTGGACATGGGCACCTTATTTACATTCCGTTACCATGTGTGGCAGAAGGGTCACGCCCCCACCAACTTTGCTAAGTGGCGGACAGCCACAACTCCCTACCAGGTAGGAGCTCTGTGTGTGAACAAGAGATGTTCATTAAAACAATCACATAGCAGCCCTCACTCACTTTGCTGATGAGGACTACTTACTCATGGAGCAGATAAGCATGCTTGAAACACGGACGGACCATTTACCCAGGGATGTGCAACTTAAGCTCAGAGCTGGTTCAATGCGTGTTACGGCCGGCACAATATCAAAGCAGAAATTAAATTGGATTATCTCTAATAATGAAATATATATTCCTGTCTACCACTTTGTTTTCTTGGAATATTTTAAGTCAGGGTACACCCTTTCTAAAAATATGCTGCTCAAGATATTTCATCCTATACATTCTGAGAAAAGTGTACCACATAATTGGGGAATCTTGCCTCATTAAAACTTCGTTTCTGCTTGAAATTGATTAATGAAGATTTATTCGTCTAAACAAATAGATTAAGCACCGCGTTGGCGCATCGTCTCGGCAGAACCACGGCTGCACTGTACATGCTGCATGCTGCAACGCGTGTCGCAGTTTTCTCGAGAAAAGTCGAGAGCACCTGTGGTGGTAATAACAATCTGTAACATGCATGGAACTGCTCGCGGTTGCACATCACTGGGTAAATAGTCCGTGCTTGAAAGAAGTTACCTTACAACATCCATGTTAGGCAGGATAATCCTAGGGTCTGTTTGTTTAACACGGATCTGGATCTCGATTTCCAACGACACACTGTTGTGAACCTCAGCCAACACACCCTGTTGACCACTGAGACAGATGTCCTGTCCCCAGGCATAAACTTCGCCAACCCACCACGCGCCGTCTCCCTAGCCGACATCATCCAAGCCACGGAATCTGCCATACGGAAGCTTGAGAAGACCACAGCTGATAACAATTGAGTCAAGATCCATCAAGCACTCCTACACGCCAAACCGATCAAGCCCAACCTCACCAGACCCAAAGTTGAAGCCCTCCGTGATCTCCGCAGCGACAAGTCCATACACATCCTCATGGCTGACAAGGGCAATGCCACCGTGGTCATGGACCGCGTGGCTTACTCCAACAAAGTACGAGACATCCTCACAGCCGGCACCTACCGCCCCCTACCCAAGGACCCCACTCAAGCCATCGAGAAACGCATTGCCAGCCACCTCCTCGCCCTCCACCGCTCCGACTCCATCCCAGCAGATCTGTACCGTTGCCTCTGCCAGTCGACATCTACCTGTCCAAGATTTTTGGTCAACCCAAGGTCCACAAGCCGGGCATCCCCCTGCGCTCCATTGTGGTTTTAAGGGGCTCACCGACGTACGAGACTGCCTGCCTCCTGACTGGCATCCTCCAGCCCCTGGTCGGCAACACACCATATCTCCAACTCCACCTAGTCCGTGAAGCTCATGAGAAACCTGTCACTCCAGCCAACAGACATCATGGTGAGCTTTGATGTGGTGTTGCTATTCACCAATGTTCCCACCGAAGAAGCATACCAGGCCAAGTATACATTGGGGAAACCGGAAGGAACCTCCCCACAAGACTCCAAGAACACTGCTTGCACAGCCGACGAGGAGAATACGACAAGTCAGCCATCATCAAACATGCACTCTCCATGGACCACCGCATCAAATGGGACAGAGCAGAACTCATTGCCCCCATCCAGAACTGGCTTCCAAGGAGAATCCGAGAAGCCATCAAGATTTTCCGGCACAACACCGTACCGCAAGACATCAGTTTCAAGCTCAACGTCATCTGGCGCCCACTACTAGCACCCAAGCAGACACCCACTCCCGGGTAGTAGGGTCCCCTATACCCAAACCCAAGGTTTCCTAACAATTCCAGGATCCTACACCTTCACGCAACAGGGCATACACCGAGTCACTCAACCTGTGAATCCTGTTCCATGCTCCACCGCTTCTGGATTACCTTTATAACCAGCTATCCACTCCAGTCTGGCACTCTCCTGAGGACTGCCAGAGCACACTGGCCGAAACGTCGAGTTAACACTCACCGGTTCTTTTTAAGAACCACACCTCGCCCAAAAGAGATTGATTCCATGGTGTACCCACAAACCCTTTTCTCAAAGGATCACTGGTCGTGATCTGGATCTGTGTGAAACAAACATGACCATACTCTCTTAAATTGTTAGACACAGGCAAACTGACCCCCCAACCTGATCTGTTTGGATACTCATTAGTTGAACAGTTTTTCTTCCCAAAGTGGCAACACACCCAAAATTCTTATTCTGAAACCACAAGGCTATTAAACTTTCTTAACAACCAGCTCTAGATTAGCCAGGTTGTGGGCAGTGGTCGGAAATACATGTACATGTAATTACACAAAGTCAAATTGCAAAGATTAGAACCCAAGTTCCAGGGCCATCTTATGCAAGATGAGTCTACCATGGCCAGTGATGTGTAAACATTATTAATTCAGAGGCAATCTCTGTTAAGTAACAACTTTTCAGTCATAACTGTGGGAAAACCTCTTTTTTGTAATGTGATGTCCTCCTTTTGAATGGACACTAATGAATCATTGAGTCTTGTCCAAACATATGCAGCCATTTTTTGACGCTGGAATGGAACTGGAGGTCATATAAAATACACATGTATTTTTTTTTTAACTTGAACAATTCGGAATACCAGAAAGCTGCTGTAAGCAGCCAATATTCTGCTGAATCTATTGTGCCTCATGGGGAAGAAGCTAGAAAACATTACCGAAGAGTGTTTAGCTGGGTATGACCTACATGTACTTACCTGTGGCTAAAAGTAACATGAGCATCTACTGCAAATGCATGAAGCCCTCAGCTTGCAGTTTCCACCGACAGTTGTTTTATTTTCATCAGTCAATCTTCTGCCTGTTGCAACTAGCCAAAAAAACCTCTGGCACTTTTAGGGACTTATTTGTGGTTGACAGTGTTTAAAGAAAGTCAACTGTGCAGTTTAAAAATGAGCTCATTGAGCTACACTTGTTGATACATGACTTGAATATTCAAGTTTTAAAAAGTTTTTAAAAACTGATTATTTCACTGTTGTCCACAGGTGCAGTGGGAACCTGATTTTGAACCTTACATAGTCATCAAAATGGAGTGCCCAACCTATGATCTCAGATTTGTGGGATTTGGTTGGAACAAAGTCTCCCAGATTATGGAAGTTGATGCACAGGGGTGAGTGTTCTGCTGCATAGGGACAGCAAGGGTGTGTTCAAGGATTGTTTCTGCCTTGGGTCAAAGTCTTCAGCCCTTGGGTTGAGACCCTTCCTGCTAGGTTCAGCCCCAACTATTGTCACAGAGACATCAGACTGATAAAAAACCATAGATTGGAACATTTCACTTGCAATCTGCTTGGAAAATCAAAGATAAAGCTGAAAGTGGAGACACACCCAAGTTCTGACAACCTCTACTTTTTCTGATTGAAGAGTACTCGTAGGCCCAGTATGTTTCAATACAATGAAATCTCAATAACTTGAACCTCAGGGAATGCATACAAATTTGGGTTGTCCAAATTTTGAGCTAATGAAAGTGTCTGAGTTGTGAAGTCCAATAGGCCTGCACATTACACTTACTGTGTATACGTAATCCAAATCAACTTGCTCTGCATTTCCAACTTTTTCTGTGGCTATTTCCCCACTTTTTTTCATTCTAATGTCACATACTTTTGCTCACAAATCATATTTTTTTTCGAGATTTCATGTTGTCACCCACAAGTTTCTTCTTTATTGAGAGATAAGCAAGAAAGCTTGAAAGTTTGCCTCTGAAGGTGTGCTTCCGGAACCCTTGGATAGGAAAAATAATATGCAGAAATTTCTGAATTTTCAATTATTTTCCTTTGTTTTCTTCTTTAAAAAAATCGCTCAGGAAAAAAATATTTGCGATGATATTAATTTTTAGTAACTTTTAAAATTACCTGACCTGAAAGAGAAATATTCTGCCAAAAACTGACCTTGCACTTCCAAGAATCAAATATACATTAAGACAAGTGCAATTCAGCATCCTTGTACACAGATAAACAGTGACATAAAGAATGAAATGTTATGGTAGTGTTTCAGTAAAAGGTAACTTAAAAACAGAACAAATCAAAATAATAAATAAGGAAATAAAATTGAAGGAATAATCTGCATTTACAAAATATTCTAAAGTTTAATCTAACCTTTGCAACTCGACTGAATCTAGAACTCATCAACTGCAGGTAGGTAAATCTTTGCAGTGTACAGTCTCATTTTCACGTAAGTACGTGAAGTGTGAACAAATGTGCATGAACAAGGAGACGTAGAAACCACATTGCCGGAAGTGTAAGGTTTTTAATGACATTTGTTTTTTACACATCTCCAGGGGATTTTTCCAAAATATTAATTTAGGAACATAATGGTAACATTCTGAAATGAGTGTTTCTCGAGATGGTTTCAATTTCGAATCACTCTTCAAAAAAGTCATTGAACATGATAGAATGGCCCCATGATAAAATCTGCATCGGTGGTCCGCATGAGGGTTCCAGAAGCTCACTGTGTTACCTTTTACTTTCAGGCTCTGTAAACCAGTTTATGCTGTACCTTTGGTGTGGCAAACTTTCAAGTAAATTGCTCTATCATGTTTATTATTTGCAGCACAAAGTGCAGTACATACATGTAGTTAGGGTTTGTTTTCACGGGGGGTTTCCTGTGGGGTCACATGACCTTTCGTTTTGCAGTCAAATGGCCACAACAAAAAGTCAGCAATGGGACTACATCTGCATGGCTTTCTGCAGTTAGTTCCATGGTTGCAATCAGGCTAGCTCGAAAGCTAAAATTGATGATGTATTCTTTGTTATAGGTTCTTATGAACTTCTTCAAGGTCAGACTATTTTTATAGAGGTGTTACCTAAACTTTGAGTTGATCATTGTGTGTCTCTTGCTAGGTATGAATTCATTGTCCTACCCAATGCATTCGTCATACACATGCCCCACACACCAAGTTTTGACATAGCCAAGTTTCGCTCAAGCGATCTTTATCGGACGTGAGTATTTTAACTTATACTGTATTGTGTATATCAGTTAGTTTTAAACCAGGAGCCAGTGGGTTTCTGGTTCAAAACATTCACTCTCCAAGAAGAAATCCTGAATTCTGTTTCAAATATGGGAACTATGTCAAACAAAAATCTACTTCAGCATATGCATCGTGAAGGGGATGTAAACTGAAAATAAAGGGAGTTGTGAAAATATGTTGCCATGGAATTCTAAGTGAAGAATACCATTGCTTGCTGTATACTTTGCTTGGAACCAACAACTTTTCTGCAGTTTTGAAGAAACAAATAATGTTTTGTTTGTCTGTTTAGACTTTTCCCTACAAAGCTAAATTCTGTTCATTGAGGATTTCAGTTAAATTCTCTTCCATTTTGCACTGAAAATGGAAGATCATTGGATCTAAAACTGACAAGTCAAATGTAGCGTATAGGATTTGCATGTACTGCAATTTGTCAAAATTGGCTGATTAAGGGGTTTGCGGCTTACTTTGTGTGCCATTTCAAGGACTTGTTTCATTTTTTTAAGCATCCAATTACTTTTTCTATGGTATCCCACATAATGACTGACTTATCTATCATGATTAACTTTATGTGCCATCCTGAGTGAAAATTTCATATTGGCTAGTCCGCTATTTATAGTACTCTAATGGAAACTGTTGAATATGTTCCAGGCATTGGAAGGATCAGTCTATGCCACAGTATATGAAGTCAGGCTAGAAAAGGGCTGCTGTACATCTGAGCAATTATTGCCGATGTTCACTGTGTGGTTTTGTATCTAGTGGGGCACTGCTGGGTACCATTTACCACATTTCCATGATGGGACACACTACTGGCTCTGTCATTTTGCATTTGCACCCAGCTCATGCTGACATGCACTTGTGATTCATCCACGTTTAATCCACTCCATTGGATTAGTTCAGTACTGATGTGCCATTGCTAGCTAATTCAGTTGTGGATGATTTAACAAATTTTGCCTGCGGTGTAGGAGTCCAGGGTGTTTTGTACACCTTAGGGGGCAAATGGCACTCGAGGCAAAGCCATGAATGATACTTGTGCACTTGTAGCAGATCACCTGATCACTTTACAACAAATAAAAGTTCACTATCTATGACCCTGGTATAACAATGACTATTGACCACCAGTAGTGTGAGCTGATGTTTCTTCCTTCATGCTCCCATTGACAAATAATATCGTTATTCCACTTTTACGATGTCGTCATCCCATGATAAATTACCTGGGGATCTTGACATCTTGCTTGTGTGATGTTGTCAATCTGAGAAAAACTACGTGAGGATCTCAACAAGTCGGACGGCACTTCCAGGATTCCAATCTTTACTGACAGCATTTCCTGTTCCATTATCTCGTTTCTTTCATAGGTGTCTGAAAGTTTTAAAGGAGGAATTTCAGAAGGATCTCTCCAAGAAATACGGGTTTGCTGCTTTAAAATATGTCGCCGTGGAAACATGATATTCGGGATGTAGGGATACTGTACTTGTATTTTTGAAAATTAGATCGTTGACATGCTCATGTATGTTATACTGTGTACATATTTGGCTAAGCCCGCCTGTAGATCTTCACATTTTTATCAAATGATGGTGCACACAATGTTTCGCTTTCTCAAAGCAATTACAACAATAAAAAATATGAGAAATGGACATCTACAAGTCACTTTCTTACATTCAAATAACCCAAACTTAGGCTAACCCACACCTCTGCAGCTTCATGAGCTAAACTGTGCATGAATGTGATAGGAAGCTCTGAGGTCCCAAAGAAAATCATATATGTAGAATATGTTGAATCGCCCATTCCAGTAACAAAGTGAAATTGTTGACATGAATTGTACACAATATGGTGGAACACCTCAGTAAACCTGTCTCAAAGCTGAATGTACCTCTGTCAGTAAATGATCACACATAAAAATAATGCAGCTCAAATGATGCTTTAGATTTTATACCCCAAAATGCACTTGACTATAAGCCTGGTTCCCATATCAATGTTAGAAACGCAGACAGCAAGGCAATGAAGATGCAAAGTGCAATGCAGACATGGAAACGTGTCCAACGGAAGTGTCATCAATAACCCAGACAAATGCAAACCAGCCTCAGAAGGATTGGCAAGATTGAGCCTGGTTCAACTTTGCCAACTGTTTGCATTGAGTTGCCAAGTAGGCCTATACAAACACACACACTCTGGCATGATGGGCATACAACAATGTCCCCCTCGCTTAGTATTACACTGTGACCATTTTCTCCTTGTTGCTATTAACATATGCAGCCCCAATTGTCAACGTAGCTGACCATAAATAAAATACCCGAAACCGGAGTGTCAGTTTGGTTCCAAGGGGTGGTGTTTCCACCTGAAAAGGCATTTTATGCAAATTTTTGTGGATGCCATTTTATTAATTTTTTTGGTGAAATGTTAAAAAGTGTCTCTTCTATAACTGTCTGCATCTTGACGTCTTGTATGTTGCCGGCGTTGATTACGACCATATGAAAGCCATGCTTTATCTTGGATTTTCAAACCTAGCTGTTTAAAATAAAAAACCAGTATGTATACTTTGAATAGGTCATGTGCTAAAATGGACCCTTTGTACATGGTGTGTGTAAGGTCATTTATTTCATGACATACCTTTTATTTTTTTTCAAGAATGTATGTCATTGAGGGTGTCTGTATCAGAAGCAAGCATTCATAAAATAATTGCAGTGTCCAAACTATTCAGCTATGGCTGGCTAAATTATGTATTCATTATCCATGAAAGAGTCTCTTTTTGGTACAGAAATCTTCCACAATGAAATACATTGTGTACTTGATCAATAACGTTTTGAAAAGTCAAGGCCAAATAATGTCACTGAGTGTAATTGTAAATTGGACTGACTTCACACCAGACTGTTTCCAATGAACTCTCTACCATTTATTATTCATGATTTTGAGTAACGCAGTTAAACAAGTTTCTTAGCAGTGGGAATCCTGTCAGTATGTTTTGGTTGGGATAATATCTTTGTTTCTTGTTATTAAATTTAATCTAAAGGTTTTTCTGGTGACTCATTTCAGTACGGTAGTATGTGTGTGACATCATTTTGCCTAAAATCATCAAGAGTGCTTGAACTCTTTTGTATGATTCCGAGTCTGTGCTACTTTTAAACACACCAAAATACGAAGTGATTTGATGGCTGAATCTGTAGTGTCCTCAGTCCTGCACATTGAGGCTGCTTATTAGAATGTCTATTTCATACATCTCCGGCTACCTGTCTGTACAGTGTAAATCCAGATCATTCTGCTAGATTTAACTTTCACATTGTAACAGTTCAGTTTGCTCGTGTCCAGCTGTAGTTACCTGTTTCCAAAAGAATAAATGCCTGATTCAGTTCACTGTAACATTTCGATTTTGCGACAAAACCACTCGAAGGTTACCAAAAAGATTATCCAACAGCCAAATTTCCCATTGTCCAAGGCATTGTTACTACGTGTATTGGCATCGGTAAATTTGATTTAAGTTGGAACAAAAGTGTTTGCCATTGCGACTAATTAGGACCAACTAGGGAGTTTTCTTGATAGCAGCATTTTCATACAACTCATAACAACAGCAAAATGTGTGTTTTCATTTTATGTGTTAAGGGATTCCAAAGTGACACAGGTACATGTATCCTCAAGGGGGAACTGTAACCTTGTTAGGTTCTTGTGACGGAGAAGATGGGACTATTTCATCCTTCACTCGCCCTGCATTTGATGCATTTGATGTGTGATTATCCACCGAATCCCTCATTTTGCTATCACCTTGGTGGGGAGGGGGGAGCAGAGTGGCAAAGTGGAAGGGGTTGGAGAAATGTAAAGCCGAATCTGGATGCTGTGATAGCATTCAAATTACATCAGGTGTTCTGTAAATGCAAAATTAAGTAACTGTTCATCTTTAAGTCCAATCAGACAAAGGCCTTTGTTCCTATTCATGTGAATAATATTACTGCCCTTGCTTGGGTGTTTTGGAAGCTTTGTATTTGTTTTCCTGGATAATTTTGTAAAGCTTTTATTCTCATCTGAAAATTGTTCCTTTAATTTTGAAAATGAAACGAGAACATTGTCTTTGTGGAATTGAATTCATTGTATCCAAATGGAAGGACATAGTTTGAAATTGGCTTGATCAACCAATTAACTACATAAGTCTTTTTTATCTTGTCGAGGTGGAATGATTTGTCATTTTAATTTCTGGTTGGGTTTTGTATTACATGGACAAAATCTTGGCCAGCAATGCTTCAAACGCTCATGTTTGTTTGCCGTCTTTAGGTATACATGTTTGTTGTTTTCGAATTTCGGTTGGATTATTCACTTTTTGTAGGTTTTAATTGCCTCGTCGCTCTGCATTATGTTGACTAATTTGAGGAGACGCCCCCAATGGGCACATTCTGTACGTGCATGTGGAGTTTCATCCATTCTGTTGGCAGTGGATCGTGATACCACTGTAGCAATGGCTTTGCATTTTGCTCGCGAAAATATTTTCAGTTATCTAATGTATACAGTGTGTAAATATTTTCCTTTTTCAGAAGTTATTTTATACAGTTTCATTGCGAAGGCCAAGGCATGTTTTTTGTTATACTGAAGACAATGCGTTTGGGAATCCCAGCGCCGTGTAGAGAGAGTTGTAACATAGGTCAAGTTTGATTAAGGTTAACCATAGTATCATCTCTGATTGAGCGCACGTTAGTCGATGGTGGTTGGACTAATCTGGTCAACTGTTCGGGACCAGCCTACCAAGGGTTGGTCGTGTCGTTATTTGCTATAAACTTGTTTTTAATAGCACAGTGCAGAGAGGACCAGTTATAAGAATAATGCTGGGAAAACAGTCACTAGTAAACGACTATTTTCACTGTAATTTTTGCTATTTTGCCCTTCCTGAGTCAACCGTTTTCCCCTTCGACCTAACGACCTGACAACGGTTGACTAGGGTCGTTTTCACTTCACGTTCAACTTCACTTCACGAGCGCTAGGTCCGTCAATAATCAAACACCTAATCTAGTTGTCCATAATTGAACTTGTCCATAAGTGTCTCCACTGTTTGAAACCAATTGGCAGATGTATGCGCCACGATGTACAACAGCCATACACTGTACTGTACACATAATGAAGAGCCATTTTTATTTTCAAAACGTGAACCGGTGTGATACAGAATGCACCCACGTAAGTAGGCCAAAAAAGCTGTCCACCGAGCTTGTGAATAAAAGTAATGCACTCATCAAGATGCATTTATTAGAGAGCTCCTAGAGCCATGGAATTTTGGAATTGAAGAAATAAGGCAATGAATAGCTGGCGTGCCAAGGAATGCCAGTTATTATTGTTATCAATTTCTGACAATGTCAGGGGTTGTGGAAAGGACTGTACAATCCATCGCCCCGGTTAAAGTTCAAATACACAAAATGTAAGATTAAAAATTAAATGCAATTTTAACAATTATTTAGAACAAATAAAGTTCTGAGCAATTTAGATGCAATCGGGTCCGAAACTAAACTGCGGTGGCACCGCACTCCCACATTCCTCGGCTTGACGTGCGCATGCATGTGGCAAATCACGACACCCTATTGGTCAAAGAGGCATGTAACGTGCGAGTACCACCTGTCTAGAAGTGTTGTGCTACTGAGATACTGCCACATTTGAATTTCACCCTTTTGGGCATTAGGAGATACATAGAATTAAAGTTTGCACCCTTTACATAATGTCACCTTGTCTATAACACTTGCCAAATCTATCTACCAAATTTCAACCCGATCAGACATGTAGTTTACAAGATGTGGGCTTGTAAAGAATGTACTTTTAATGTCCGTAACTAGTCACACGATGAAGTCCTTACCACATCAGGTCAACGTTTGTCGAAAACTCTTCCTTTCCAAGAGATCTGCAAGGCTTGAACCCGATCGGACGTGTACTTCAGGAGATATGAGCTTTAAAGAGTGCACCTTTAATGTCACGTGACTTGTCTTTTGATGACGTCATGATTACATAAGGTCAATATTGCTCTAGAGCACTCTCTTTTGAAGATATCTGCAAGATTTGAACTCGATTGGACATTTCCTTTAGGAGATATGAGGCTTTGAAAGGTAAAGATTTAACGTCAAGTCACGTGACATATATTATGACGTCATTGTGGCGATTTTCTTCTTGGACCTTTTCCAGCTTGTGTGCTAAAAGCAAGAACCTAATATATAACTAGTCTGACCTATAAGAGTATCGAAGTCTGGCGTCAAGACGTCTTAAATTACTCAACGATTTTGCATCATGGTCTCTGCCGTCTGTAACTTTAATGACGACTGAGGATCGCAAAATATTCCAAATCGTGCCTTGAAAACGTGTACAAAGTCAAAGGGCTGAAATAGATTTTTAAAATATTAATAATAAATCACATGATGACGTCATCGTGACGTCATTTTTCTGTGCACATTTTTAGACAAGGGTCCTTCAATGATGTAAGTTTGATAAAAGATCCAAAGTTGCTAAGGGACTAAAGTGGGGGATGGAAGAAACGTGCACAAAACAAAGGGGATTTGGGTGCTCATCATCATCATCAGAAGAAAAGAACAAAAAGACTGCCTTTTTCGCAAAATGCGAAAAAGCCAAAAACTAGAGGAAATGCGTCTGTCTCAAGGACAGAACACAGGGCTTTTTCGCCTTTTTGTGCTTGTGAAGAAAAGTGCTCTGTGGGCATAGCACAAAATGTTTGAGAATATTCATAATAATAAACTTACATATATAATTTTAACCAAAAAGATGTGCTTCAAGAGATCAGTTTTAATGTCACATGACTTGTCCCGTGATGACGTCATCATCATGGGAGGGCAATATACGCGTGTCAATCGTCTAAAGCATACCCTTTTCAAGATATCTTCAAGATTTGCATCCGATCGGACATCTACTTTAGGAGTTAAGGTGCCCCAAACAGTGCACACTTAACGTCACGTGACTTATCCCCTGATGACGTCACCAGCACAGCAGGTCAACATTCGTCTGTAACACTTTCCTTTCTAGTCATCTGCAAAATTTCAACCAGACAAAACCAGTCCTTTACGAAATAAAAGGCTTTATAGTTTACAGATTTCATCCCAAGTAAAAAAACGTGTACAAAACCGATGGGGAAAATAAAATATAGAAAAATCAGTAAAACATAAGTTGATGACGTCATCATGACACCATTCATTTTCAATCAAACTTGCATCAGGGTCTTTGTTGACTATCACTTTGTCAATGATCAAACATTACAAAGTTACAAAACTTTTGGCTCGAATACGTGTACAAAGTCAATTGGCTGAAATAAGTATTAAAAATACAATAAAATCACTTGATGACGTCATCATGACGTCACTGTTCTATGCACATCTTTGAACTAAGGTCCTTCAATGATGTGAGTTGAATGACAAAGATGCAAAGAGCAAGAAGAAGGAAGAAAAAAAGAACAAGAATGCATTTTTCGCAAAATTGCGAAAAAGCCAAAAGAGGAAGAAAAAGAATGGATTTATCGCAAAGTTACGAAAAAGCCAAAAAAGAACAAAAGAATGCATTTTTAGCAAAGTTGCGAAAAAGCCAAAAAGAGAACAAAAAGAATGCCTTTTTCGCAAAATTGCATACAACCAACAAAAAAAAAGAAGAAAAAGAGTACCTTTGTCGCAAAGATGCCAAAAAGCCAAAAACGGATTAAAAAGAATGTCTTTCTTGCGAAAGAGCCAATAACTTTTCTCGATGAACACAACTTCCATTTGTATTGTACGTATCCAGTAGGCTGAAATTAAATGTGCACTTTTCAAAGCATTATATATCGTGAGGTAAATGTCCAATTGGTTTCGAACCTTGCAGACATCTTGAAAAGGGAGGGCTCAAGACGAAATTCTTCGAAATTCGAAATTCTCTCTTATTCATTCCATGTAAGTACAAGAGGAAATCATTCGTTTGATCACTTATGAAACGAAGGATAAACGCAAAAATTAAACATCATTTACAGATAAAATAAACTATAGGAAATTCGATAATATTAGAAAGATGAAACGAAATAGGTTACAACTGATTTCTCAAAATAAAAAAGGTAAGGAAAAAAACATACAACATAACAAAGTTTTCATTGTGTGTAATGAGAGAATAAGACCCCGTTTATACATCATAATGTGTCAATAGAAAAAGAAATACTAGACTCAATTATCTTTACATGAACGAAGATATCTTCTTAACATAAATTGCATCGAATAGCTCTTCTCCTAGTCTGCTCGTTTGCATTGACAGAAACCATTTCAAACTTTGTTTGAACAGTACAAGAATTTCAACATTATTTGATACATTGTCGGAAACAATATCACATCTTGCCTTCCAGATCTGACGAAGCATTTGTATACTATTACACCAAATCCACGCATCTTGAGTGTATGTACAGTACATAAATAAATGCTCATGAGTCTCAACTTCCGTTTTGCAGAGGGGGCGCGACACATCGCTACTTTTGCCATCTTAAAAATCAAATCCTCAGTGGGCAAAATTCGAAATTTTAATTTATACCAAAACTGTTTATCTTTGGGATCCAATAACTTAATTACTCACATAACTGTTCCATACATAAGGCCACTCAGGACTTTCCCAAGGTGCAATATATTTTGCCAGACATTCTGGATTTTAGGGGTAACAAATCTTTGTAGCATCAACTTTTTATACACATTTAAAAAAAATTTTCCCCGATACGTATATTATATTATTATGGTCAACCTCTTGCACAGATGATTAAGTGGACCCAGTCTCTTTTCTTGAATTAAAGACATCCACGTGTTTTCGGATACGGCCCATTAAACACTCAGAAATAATATTTTTAGCATTAAACTTCTGTCCAATTTCTTGAAATGTAATTAATTTGTTGTCTCTCGTAATATCCTTTAAATAAGTAACAATAGCCCTTAGCTTTTAGGATCTGACTCTTTAAAACAGAAAAGTCTCTAGTAACAACTACTTGTTCCATAATGGAATTTCTTCACACTCCAATAGAGTACTGAAATCTTTTGACACCCGACCTCCAACTTTTTGCAAAAGCGATAATGAGGTCCACATAAAAATCAGTAGCCAGTAAAGGCCTTTTGACATTAGCTAATATATACCAATCAGAACTGCTGGCTTTCTTAATCCTGTAGTCGAATATAGTTTTCTGTACTCCCTGCCCATTACAGTAACATTTAAACCACTGTAATCTAACACTCACTAGTTTACAACCAATGTCAGTTAAACCCATTACTCCCATAAATTTGGTCCAACAATAGTGCTTCGTTCGATTCGATCGATTTATTTACCATTCCAAAAGACACGTCAGATCATATTACTCACTTTTTAAATGAGATTGTCTGGACAAGCAATGACACTCCGAACATAGTTTAAACTCGCTCAAGTAAAACTATTGACAATGACCGTCTTACCAATGTGCGTCAAATTACGCCGAGACTACGTACTTAAAGTACCTTTCATTTTACTAATTCTTGGTTCCCAGTTAACATTGGGAGGACATCATTTCCAAAATAGATTCCAATAATTTTCAATTTATTATCCCACTGAAAGCCGCACGGCTCATCCACCCTCGTCCTCCATTCCCTCGCCATAAACCTTTAGATTCACCAGCGTTGATTTTGGAACCGGTTCCTTGACTGTAAACACTGAAAATATCGTCTATTACTCGGAAATCATCGTCATTTCCAAAAAACGAACTTGTGTCATCTGCGTGTTGAATAATTTTAACAGTACTCTTCGCATCAGGTAGGGTAATTCCTTTTAAAGTCAAATTATTTCTAACAAGAGCAGCAAGACCTTATGCACAAATAGAATACAGGAGGTATTCTTTTTGGTACATAAGAAGCAAGCAGAATATTGTTCTAAACGTCAGAGTTAATCTCTCCTACCTTTTTATCAAACGAAATTGTTACCTTCAGTTTGCAAATTTTTTGTGGGTGTATGAACAGAAAAACAAATCTTCACGGGGAACGTCAGAAAAAAGAACAGAGCTGCAAACCACCTACATGATATACGCACCTGCAAACGCTCAAAGGAAATGTCCCGGATGTTGCATAACCACGTACACGCGGAACGCATGTGGCGTGCACAAATGGTGAGCGCTGGTCGTGTCACGTGCGGACCAGATCAGTGCTATGTACGTCAGGGGTTAAAAGGCTTAAAGTTTTATGTACAAAAATACCACCGTAACTCGAATAATGCCCACACCATTAAATATACTTATTTTGAAGTTTCTAATTCAATAAACCTCCACCAAAATGCTTCAAACGGCGTTGCAAGTATCGGAAGTCTATATAGGGTTAGGAGTCATCGCAAGTTCGTTTCTTTTCTGACGAGGAACAGCACGTAAATCAACAAAGCTGCAACTGTGTAATCCTGGCTTTCAAGACGCTGAAACTAACCTGATTGCAACGCAGGCCCAATTGTCCCCTTCAGGCAGTCCAATCGCTGACACTGCAGCGGCC